TTTAATTGTGCTTGGCTTGCATACCGTTGTTGCACCTCGACTTATTGGCTCTTTTGCTATCGCGGCAGGAAATTACAGCAACGGTAGTGCACGAAAACGCAACGCTCCTCTGTCAGGCGAACGCGTTCCTCGATTGGAGATCGTTTTGCGACAATTTCGATTTACATACGTGATAGGTTGAATTTTACTAATACGTTTCATCGTTATCCCTCCTAATTCTTCTTCTTGTTTCATCGAGGCATCGATGGTGCGAGTACATTCGTGTCCACCGCATTATTTTTCTACTGGAATGTTGTTTTACCGGAATATTGCACAAACGTGATAGGACGCAACGAAGGTTTAAAATCTAAAATTTTTTTTTTTATTCGTTACATAAGAATACGATCCGATGCAACGCGAAAGCAGGGAGCACGGACGTTGTTCGAATTTTTAAACCGTGGGTATGCGATTGCGAGTGTCCTGGAGTGAAACCCGCGGCCCCGTTTTCCGGTTCGTGAGAAACGCGAAAAACGGTCGCTGCTGGAAGGAACCGAACAAAGGAAAAAAGAGAGGGCTACTGTGATCCGTATACTTTGCTGGTGAACCGCGTGTTTCCTTATCGAGATTGATCGCGGCATGCGCACATTAAATCGTACCTGCAACCGAAGCGTGTCGGAGTGCAACGCGCCGTCCGTTACGATAATTAATTTTCGCGCAACTACTGGGGAATCGATACTGGCCGTCGATCGCGTCGAACGCGCACGCAACGCTTCCGTTATGCGACAACAGTGAAAAGGAGGGGTGTTTGAGTCGTCATTTTGTTATCCCTGAAATTCTTCGAAAGACACGACCCCTCGAAGTTGCCAAACTTCATCCATTTTCACGGAAACTGCTTTCAGAAAATAATTTTTCGTTTGTTTAATTTCTTCCTCTTTCGTACAATTCTCTCGTTATACGATTCACCGCCTGATATATAAATGGAACCGATGCTTTCCTCTTCGATATTAACACGTCAGTTGATACTTTAAGTAAGAGGTGTACTTTCACCATAAAAAAACAATGACGAAATTTGTCGTGTTTGACGACCTCTATAAGTGGCGAATCACTTTCCACGGGAAACGTTTTTCCTCGAAGCGTTCGCACGACTTCCAAGCGAGTCCGGAGAGTGTCTCGGGATGTCAGACTTCTCACGCGATGTCGGGAGGACGTCAAGGAAAACGAGACGCGACCGGATCTGAACACGGAATCGTTCCCGCGGTAGGTCGGCGAGTGTGTGTTCAAACTAGCGCGATTACGTCGGTTATAATGTTCTTTTGTTCGCAATTTAAAGACTCTTTTATCTGACAAATAAATATTTAGATAGCATCGTTTGCGCGCTCTTGATTCTCTTTCGTTCAATATTCATGAGAGCGACGTTCCGTTTGCTTTAACAGTGGCGGTGTTCATCGTCGGATTCTGTCCTGGAGAACTTAATGAATAGCACGGGTGTGCTATCTATTCGACCAGGGATGTAATCGCTTCGAAAATTGAGCACCCTTTCGAAGGTAATCCCTTGCCAAGAATTTAATCGCAGAAATGGCGCGAACGAACGTGGGACGTTCGAAAACTTTGGTCGGGGAACAACTTTCATGGTTGGCGGTGCCCTTTCCTAACGTACTTGAACGAAAGTTCGAAAGTTTTCCGTGGTGTCTGGTCGCTCGTTCGATCGAGCTGGGATAGTTCCAGGCACCTGTGCGCAACCCCGCTATCCTCCGAATTAGTTCCAGCCTTTGACTCCCCCTCGCAGAGCCACGAACTCGCTGAAATCGAAGATTTCCGCGCCGCTGAGCTCCTCAGAGACGCGAATCAGCATCCACTTAGTTTCCTCCTAACGAGGACAACAAAGCGTTCGTTAAACCGTGATTCGTCCTGGTGAGCGAGCATCTTTGCTTCGTGTGTTTTTACAACGGCGGGGAAACGGTTTCCATCTCCCTCGATCCTAATAGACTTGCCTTGCATCGTTTCTGCGCCCCAATACGAATCAAAATGTCCTTTTTTCATTGTTCACCTCGAGGCTTCGTTACGAAGATGCGAGCAGTCGAAATTGTACGTGCACGTACATAAGTCCCCGCATGCGCAACTGCGCAATCAGCTGACCGAGATAAAAATGGCGCCCCCCGAAAGTAGCTTGAACTTAAGCGGTAAGCTTTAATTACTGATATCTAGGTACGGAGGCTTCACATTACAAAATGATAAAGGACTTTTCGATCCCTTTTTACACGAAGAATCTATCCTAAAAAAAAGGTTCCATATTTTTGTCAAATATTTTCGTATTTTCTATACCTTTCAGAACATAACTCAAGCGATCGATCACAATCAACCCTTTAAAATACCTTCTGCAATGCTTTATGATAGAATTCAATCTCCTTAGACGCCCCACCACCAGTGAACATCTCCATCGATCCAATTTCATTCCTCCCACGCGTATGCAAGTTTTTGAAACATTTCCCCCCGCATGGTGTCTCTTGACGACGCAACATAAGCCACATAGTGCTGGACCTTCGTACTCATCGGCACGAGGTAAACGAGCCCGTAGAGTTTTCACTTGCGTTTCATGAATTTCGATGAAAGTGGCGAACAAATTACGGGGGTTCGGAGCAGACACGTAACGAAGGTTAAACGAAACACGGCATACACGGAACGAAACACGATATACGAGGCATATACGCTTCGTACCGCGTTGGCGAGCACCGCGCACGCCTGCTTGGTTTTTCACGGCGTTTGCTTGCGTCACGAATCGTATGCCGGCGTCCCACGCAACGCTGGTTGACGCTACTTTCTCTGCGCGATGCGGGCGGATGTCCAGTCCAAAGGTGTTCGACAAGGGATCCTCGTTAACCCTTTCCCTGCGACGCCCTTCGAGTCGAAAGACTCCCACGACGAAACGTTTGATGTTTCATAAAAAGAGCTTATACCTGCAGTGATTCAACACGTTAAGTAAGAATCGAGTGAAATTTCGTAGACTGCTGAGCTACAGGTGCTACAGGACATGCATTATTTTCAGGAAGAAAAGAACGAAAGTTTACTTTTACAAAGCTAACAGCTTTGACGAAAGCAAGAGTAATTCCTTGGAAACGATTGTCTCTAAAACATCTTTTCCAATGCTACGAGAGCAAGTCTGTTTAGTCATTCACGTGCCATCGTGGATCTATGTATATATTCTATAGACATTTTGTGTTGGAGAAACTTCTCTCTCTCCAATCGCATTGGTTATTGTTAAAAGTCGATTTGTGCTACTACTTCAACAATATAAAATAAAGAAGTAGATCCGTTGTTCCATGTTTTCATTTCTGTAGACTCTTATCTGTAGATCCTTATCTAAATCAACTCATTAAACAACGAACCAAAAACAAACACCTACACACCCATCAGTGACTGAGTAACAATTAGAACGTAAACTATAAAATAAAATCCAACGCGACACACAGAGATATAATTCCAGCTATCAAGACACACGATTCTAGATCATCGGATAAATTCTAAATTTGGGCTACTACTTGTCCCTGATTGCCTGTGCCTTGATTCAGCCCCGTACGCTTCATCCTCAGTAAACCGAATTACATAGGTACTCACGTTTTGCCTGAAATCTGCGATGTTTTCTCGGTATCCAATGTCACGGTTCAACGCTGGCGTTCAGAGACCGCGATCGACGAGCATGATGAGAGCGCGTGAGCTCGATATCGATAACGGATCGACGCGTACGCGATCGAGAGTCTTACTTCGTTGTTTGCTTATCGATAACGACAGGTGTCCTTGTCGTCGATTCACGTTTTCCAATTGATTGTTGACGACGATGATTGGAGCAAGCGAAGCGACGCACAGCAGCTCTGGGCGCGATACCGAGCGTCGTTACGATCCGACGCGCACGAAGGGTGACGGTAGACTGAGGAGTTTACTGAAACACCTCGCGGGGACGCTTGTCGCAGCTCCAGCGAATGCTGGTGCTCATGTCCAGCTAGCTCGAAGAGGAGGCGCGCGCGATGCGCAAGCATGCCCCGGATTCGCCCGCAATTGCGCATCGTTCCTTCGTCCACCTTCCCGCGTAATTAACGCGTCCGTGCATTACTCGTTTCACGTTCTTTTCGTCCACCCACGTACTCTCGGATCCCGCATAGGGTGGAGGGCAATGTTAACGTGCCTCTATACAGGGGGAGCGATCCTTTTTAACACTTTGCCTTCGAGGCGACAAATGTTACATAACATTTCAATAATTAATATTTTTCGGAGAAATTTGAAATGAAGGAATAACTGTTCACGTCATAATTAACACTTGTTGATATGCGATTGTAAGTGATTCTCCTTTTTTATTAGAAGACGATGATTTGAGATTTTTCTCGCTATCATATCGCAACTTTGATTGTATTTGATTTTGATTTGTATTTGATTTTGCTCGTCGTCTGTAAGAACTTTGCATAGCACGCAAGAAGACGAAGCGAGAATGCATCGTGCGAGTCAGTATGCACTTTCGTCTGGAGGATGGTTGGAAAATCGTGTGAGACGTTAATATGGAAACAACTGTAATAACAAGAAAGTGAAAAGAGATCTCCTCGGCGACGACGTATCGTGGCGAATGGTAATTTTGTTTAAAAACCAGGAATAACGAAGCGTTGCACTCGCGCGAGAAGCATTTCACATCTCGAAGCTTGGACGGATAATGGCCGGAACGTAAATACATGCATCGAGTTCGTTACCCTAACGTCCAACTAGCTCGTTGTTACAGCCACTCGCCTAACAGCTAATTAACCGTTCCGAATAGACTTTCGTTTACGATCGATTTTATTTCTATCGCTGGGTGCAATGTCCGACTGTAATCGCAGATGGTTGCTTCACCGTTCGCCGATAACTGAGAAAAAGTTGACAATATCGTTGGACTTTCCCGATATTCGCTAGTTCGGAATGCGACAAATTTTCTCCCTTTCAATGGTCTTATATTCCCACCAATAATTTTAAAATCCAGTGGAATCAAAGGCCAACTGTTTTGCTTATTTTATATCGAAAAATTTGGTAAACTAGTTAACTTAAAATAACGTTAAAAATTGTATGTCTTGCATGTTTAAACGTGCATCTGCTATTTCCTATTCCAAAAGCCCATTTTATCGGTAATTATTCTAGCAAATCGTTCAATCAAACGAACTTCGTTAAATGAAATTATTTAGTTAATGTTAAATTACATTTTTTATTGTTCTGATGAAGGAATCTCGCCAAAAAGGGACACAACATATAAATATATCACCTTATATATCACATGGGTTTTACCTTATCGTGCCTAAGTTGATTACATCATTTTTCTAATTTTTTAAATCTACGTAACGGGCTACTCGTTTGACACTACCCAATAATTTAATTGCATAACATTAATATAGCACTGCTTGAGTCCAATTATCGCGTTACGTTTAACATTCCGTATTACATTGCTGTAACATGGCAGAGAAAATTTCGTATAATAGTACTCGTTTGCCGCGAAGAAATGAAATTGACGGTGTTTTTTGGCAGAATGTTATCTGGTTCACATTAGAACCTCCCTGATAATAAATAAATTCATCATTTCTATTTCGCGACGAATAAAACAACTAACAAAGACACCACCATGGACACATAGACAGCCGTCGACGTTGCCGAATTGCATTGATCCGAGTCACAAATTTTGCAATCTTTATTGTTTTCTCCGCATAAGTGTTGATTAAACGTGCATCCTCTGGTTGTGGTGTTGCCTGTAGAACAAAGCAAAGATTTCGAGTATACTGGATGATTTTATTTAGAGAGAGAGAGCAAATTCCATGTTTATTTGCCTGATAAACATTAAAACAACAATTTATTTGCAAGTGACTGTATATGTATAAGTAACTCTTTAAAAGATTTAAAATATCGATCGATTCTTAGGGTTCCAAAACTGAATAATTGGGTTATCCGTCAATCGAACGAATTTTCTCGGTAGAACGAATGTTCGAATCCGATGAAACGACAATTCCAGAGAAGAGTTAAGAGAATTATATACAATACAACATAAGTTACCTTCGCTTTTTTTGAAGCAGTAGACTTTCGTTCCGTCCTGCAATGTATCTATTTGCGCGAAATAGTTGAGTACGCTTCTACGGATTTTTAGACCTGTAAAAGGTACGCATAGAAGATTAATTTATGTAAAAATGTCGTAATAAAAATTGCTTGGACGCTATGCAGGGTGTCGCATAAATCAAACATTCTGTTTAATTATTGATTAATTGCTTAATCAACACAAAATTGCATTTTTATCGACGAGAAAATTTCGTAACCTTTATCTAAAAAAAACCAACAATCTGGAGTTAATATTTGATGGAATATGAATACTTTCACGACACTCTTGTAAATAGTTATATATAGTTAGAATCATCCTGTACACTAACACAATCATTCACACCGTTAAGGACTCGAAAATTTTTTCGCGAATAATCGGTACACATTGTCACGGTTAAGTATAGTAAACGATCACGGAAAAAAGTATCCAAATTATAATAATTTCCTATGATTAGTTCGATACACTTGTAATCTCACCTGCAATAGTTGCTTCTGAAGTCGGAGTAGTTGACTCGGGTTGAGTTGTGGTTTCTGAATTCGGAGTAGTTGACTCGGGTTGAGTTGTGGTTTCTGAATTCGGAGTAGTTGACGCGGTTTGAGTTGTTGTTTCTGAAGTCGGAGTA